GTCCTGATTAAGACCCTTATCTATAGAAAAGTACGAACAGAAGACAGAAAATAGGACGAACCATACTATAGAGAACTTAAAGAAGAAATAGTAAGCGAATCGTATCAAACAATTACGCTTAAAATGGGAAAACAATTCGTAAATCGTATTTAGCCGTGAAAAGATCCACTGTACTGAAAAAAGTAAGCCCTCGCAAGAAGAACCAACTAATCAAACTTTATGCCACAAAAGGACCCAGGAAAGTTACGAAACCGTCAAGAAATATATGATTCAAGAGCTCGAAGGCAAGTCAAAAGAAGAGGAACCTTCAGGCTAAATTTGAAGAACTAGACATCGCTAGGCGAAATGCGGCAATGAATAGCTCGAGGAAAAGACTGCTACGAGAGGAAGAAGAACAGAGAAAACGATTCAGATATCTTATTGGTTTAGAGAGCAGCCAAGAACCAATCACATCGGGCCAACCTATTCGACCATTATTAACTCACACACCAGACATATCAACCACAAATATTCCAATAGAACGATGTCCGACGACAAAGCCAGCAATCTTATTCTGCCTAAAATTCTCAAAACACTTGTTAGAAGCAACTTAGAAAACCAACAAGATCATGCAGTTCAAGAACCAACAAACAAGAAATTTTTCGAAATGAAGAATCGAACGTAGAAAAAGAACAGGATTTAGCTCAAGCCTCAATTGACCCTGAACTAAACGTTATTAACCCCGAACAGCTCACGACTGGATAGACTTGACAAATTTGACAACAACTGGCAAGAGTCAGTGATTAAAGTTCAAAGGCCACAGTTCTTAAACCCAACAGTACCTCAGATCACGGAGCCGAATATGATCCTAGCATAGATGAACACGGAGATCCAGAACCAAAACCCTATCCCTACCCAAAGCACGTCCAAACCAAAACTAACGGTTATGGCCAAACGGAAAGCCTCGTCGCCCATGAAATCGCCGCCTCCAAGAAAAACGGCAGAATTTCACTTTAGACACAATGCCAGACCCATTCGTGCCAGACAACCGCCATCGTTACTAGGAGAGAGGGTATTTACGAGCCTCGTTGAAACCTCAGGCGATAGACCAGGAGAACATTTTTCAACCTATGTAAAAACTCCGTTGTTCAATCCATCTTTAGAAGCCATCACCATCGAAACAGGAAGTCACCAAATGGACGTCGCTGGTTTAACCTCTCCACTTACTTCATATCTATGACACTCGATTTTAGATAATCTTACAAGACGTGGACCCAAACTAGTGGGCAAAACGGAGTCCTCCTTAAGAATCTCACCTACTTTATCTCTCAAGAAATTTCAGTTTAAACCGGAGGTGCGGAAGAGTGAATTTGACCCATCGGGCCTACCCTCTGGATCTGCAGCTGTCGTAGAGACACCAATAGTTAACAACCCTGATTGGCTCAACACAGCTCGATCTTTGCAGCTATGGAGCTACTAGGACGCCCGATGACTCTTGAAGAACTCAGGAAATGGACTGAAACTAGAGCTTCGAATCGTGACGCTGCATAAACTTTGGATAACCTTGAACTTTTTTTTTGTTATTAATTTAAACTCTTTTTTTCATTTTGCGTTCAGTTTTGGATTACTATCTTAAGTACATTCCTGATTTTAGTTCCTCTAACAAAAATGGGGTGCTATACCTAGATTATTCTATGACCCGGTGCTTGGAACATTTGTACTACTTAAGTTATTTTTATTTTTTTTGGGCTCCATTAACCGATCTATATTAATCTAATTTACTCCATCCTGCCTTTACGTATTATTTGTGGGTGAAAAGTAGATGTAAATTTCAATTAACTTTTCACGAGGAATGTCAAAAAGGGTATTATCTGTTAGTGACCTTTCAACCTTTACATCGCTTATCGCTTAATGTTAATTTCGTCTAATACCTGCTAAAAGTGCAACGGCTTTTGGCACAACTGAGTTTGAGACATTGAACGTTTTTATTCCAACTAATTCTGATAACAACTAATCTTGGTTCAACCTTTTAAACAATCTTTCCTTTTAGCTAGTCTTTTTTTTAGGTCGTCCAAATTGATTTTCCGAGCTCTTCAAATGGACTAAAATGACCCTGTTTTGGTCAAAACTTCTGCGCCGCAGGCAAAATTTTGAAAAAAAGGCCAAAAAAATGTTAGTTTTTAGGGGACCCTTCTGGTCGGCAGATGTGTAGTTACTTGTGTAGTTACTGATGACCCAAAGCTTTTAAATATTTAAAGCTTTTTGATTTTCGTATGCTTGCTAACTTATAAAGTGCTGGTATAAAATCATGAGTTAAGAAAAAACCTAATACATAGTAAAAATATAGTAAAAATATGAAAGTTCGGAAAATGGCATTTTGGTCACGCTCTGAACAAATTTGGGCGAGCTAATTTTTTTTTATTTTTAAAGTTTCATGATTGGCAAAAGTTTCATGAAAAGCTATTAGGCCTGTCTAAGCACGGTAAGTTTCCATTTTTGTTAGGTGTGGCAGATTGGGCTATGAAACATAATCCAAAATTGTCAATTGAAAATTGATTTGAAGTCATAAGAACAATCGATTTGAGGTCATAAAATATTCAGATAAATGCTGAACCTTATTTCAAACTCAACCGTTTCAATAAATTGTGTTTGCGACTGAAATTTCTGAACGCAGTTTTTTTATACTTTGAAAAAAGTTTATTTCGCAACTGGCATTTTTAAATTTTTTAAGCTTTTTTAAGGTGTTCAACTACCAGTCCCTCATTGCAAACTACTGTTTAATTTTTACTGTTAGATGGTCTTGCGGGTAAATAGGTTTCCAGTGAGAAATTTACGACGAAATCTACGACGAGCTGAGTTCTTTTGTCGACCTGGAAAAACGAATAAAAAAGAGAATAAACAACGCGCCATCCCTCCACAAATGAAAATGTTTGAAAATTTTCAAAATCCTGAAGTTACAAAATCAGATTACATTTTTGTTCTTACACCAGATTTGTTCTTACATCTGTTTGGATTTTTGCAATCAGATTTTTCAAAAATGCACATCACTGTTTATACTCTATCATAGTCGGTTAAAAATTAAAACTGATTAGGTTTTTAAGACAGGCTCAAAATGGCATTTAAATTATAATTATGTGCTATAATTGGGTACAGGTTTCATGATTTTCATAGTTGTTATGCAACGATGAAATTTCTATAAAATACCTCATAATACCTATTTTGTTCAGATTTTAATTTTTAAATTTGAGAAAAAACGATTGATTACAAGATGCGAAAAAACTACAGATCATTTTTTGTTACTAAAAAAAGTTTATTTCATATTTTTTTGGCCATATTCGCAAAAAAAAACAATGAAAATGACCTCATTTTGCAAGATTTTCATGCGTTTAAACAGTTTAAGCCTCGGCTACTATCAAAAATTTAAACTCCGTCTAAATGTTTTTTGGCTTGAGGTCGTGTCAATATGTTGACTAAATTAGAATCTATGTGAACAGTGTCATTCACAATTAGTAAAAGTGTTTATAAAATTTTAACTTGGTCAGAAACAACCCAGGTAAGTATAATTCAAGCTATTTCTTGCAATTATTTTTCTCTATGTGATCAACATGAAGTCTCATCCATTAAAATGCTGGTCAGTTGTGGAATGTGAATGCAGAAAAAAACAACCGAAACACACGCTGGTATCAAAATTTGATTATGTTTTTGTATGTTTATGTATATCGAATTTTCCCCGCATTCCTCAATTTCATGTTTAGATTATTGTTTCGTTAAAACAGGAATAGAGCATGGCGAAAGTATTTCCACAAGTTTTTCCATATTTAAAAATGACTGCTGGTATCAAGGCAAAACCTTAAATAATCCGACGGCCATTGAATTGGTCTCTTATTTTGAATTTTAGCAAAACTGTGAATTTTAGGCTGATAATATCAAACTTAAGTGTTACAATTTGAGTGTGCATGGAACTGATTCAACCAGTTAGCGCCTTAGCTCGTGTTAAATATAAAACGAGCAGTTCCGTCGGTCTAGTGGCAGGTTAGCGTAGAGCCCTAAGATCCCTCGAGGGACCATATCTTCAAGTTTGGTCTGAATAAGAAAAACTACCCCAAACATATATATTGCTCAGTTTCTTCGAGCTTCGGCTTATTGAAATTATTCAGGAGTGATCTGAAAGGTTGCATATCTAACCAAGGAAGCGTTAAGGGTTCAGGCAAAGTCCTTTTAACTTGGTGCTTTTCTTTTTAAATATTATATATACACACATATGAATTGAATTGAACACAGTGCACATTAGCAGTAATCAAGCATAAATCCATTAAACCGCTTTTGTTTTATGGTGTAAACATGGGTTTTTTAAAGTCAAGTATGAACACCAATATGTTTTTCATGTCATAATTAGTCCGCATATTAGTTTTTCTAACAACCAGAAACTGTGACAAAAAATTACTTAAGACTTCGCAGGTGAGAAGAAAAGGAAAAAGAGCCACGGTTTGACTCACTCGCACAGACGCTCACTGCAAAAAAGAATATGACATTTCTAACGGTGATTTTTTATGGATGTGAGAATCCAGAGGATATCAAAAATTATAATCTATTTTTGATTTCAGAAATTTCACAAGTTTAGGTTTTTAGTTTTGCAGCTGTTTTTAAAATGCTATGAACTTTCAGGTAACGCTATCAAGGTTATCCTCGCTCTTCATTTTTGGAATGTTTAATTGAAAGCTTAAGTGATCCTCGACTAAAAAGAGGAGTTTTTTTAGTCAAACCTAAAATTAGCAGTTTATGAGCTACTTTTTGTCTTCAAGATGAAGACAACAAAACCCTTTTTATACGTTTTTTACGCGCCTATTTAAGTGTCCCAAGTTTAAAAGAAGAGTAACGGCACTGTAAATTTAGAGACTAAGAATAAGAAGTTCAGAGGAAAAACCGAATGTTTAACCTAAAATTAACCAATTCTCAGATCAGGCCCTATGATTCTTTAACTAAAAAATAACTAAATAGTTTAAATTGCAAGCGTAAAATCACAGGTCATTTTCGAATACAGCTTGGCATAAAGGAGAGGCTTTCCGAGCAAAGTCAAACTGCCTCACTCTCAATCAATGGCTTTGGCTTGTCTATCGAAAATTGTGATGTTTTCTCAAGATTTATTAATCTTCAAGTGCTGAAAAAAGTGATGAAATAATTAGACTTAGGAACATTTAGAGTAGAAACTGCACATCATTTCGACTTGGACTAGCAAGTTGTGACTGAATAATAAACCCGTTATACAAACCACTACTCGAAGCGAAACTAATCAAGGAGTAAACTACTAACCAGGAAATTGATTGTAATTAGGAAATTTAAGGCAACTTTTGAATGCGACAGTCAAATGTTTTACAAGTGATATCATACCATAAGGGATGCTTGTTATAGCTAATTCATGAAGTAGATTTAATCTGAATTCATTTGTATCAGTTTTGAAATGTTTCTTAAAATTATATTATACAGAAGCACCTTAAAACCCGGAAACTGATTGAAAACAACAAGACACGATTTATTTAGATTTAGTTTTTAGACAAAGTTTTGAGGAAAGTGATGAACATAGTTTTCGGCTAAACGCAACTGTCAGCTTTGTCGCTGCTTAGCACTGTGCTTCTGCTATTGCTTGGGATCAATTTGTGGAACTGCTGCTTTCCTGGAAATGAACAGGTGCTCTCATCGTCATCCGAACTGGAATAACTGTCGTTATCCTCGGAATCCATGCCGACTTTAGAACCCGAAGTGTTTGACATTCCGGAGAAAAGGCCGGTACTACTTGACACTTTTAGAATATCTGGGGTGATGTTTTGCCTCACGGGTAAAATAGCAGCGACTGGAACTGGAATGGAAACATGTTGTCCCGGTGACATTTTGGACCCCTTGGGGACTTTTTGGTGCTCAAAGGATCTGCGCTTGGTTAAGTTTGGTGTGCTTCGGTCTTTCTTAGACTTCTGGCTGGCGTACCCTAGCGGCTGGCGTTGCTTTGAGCCGACATCTACACCTGCCACCATTTTGTAAAGACACCCAGATGGTCCAGAAGAGCTTGGAGTGACTCTTCCACTTTGTTGAGCAGTCGATACAGGTGTATTGTGACCTCCAGGGGTCAAATTGCTCTTTTGACTTTCATGGTCCGAGTGTTGCCCGTTGTTAGACATGTGTGACCCCATCATGACCTCATTTATACTGTTTTGTGACCTCGTATTGTTCATAGTATGGTGTCCAGCATGACTCACATGTGGTGCCTGGACATTGTTGGAATTGGTTCCAGTGACAGCAACATGCTCCGGAAGACTAACCAGATCGAACTCTCGCACACTGCTTCCTGACCTTGAAGTCGTGCCCATAGTTCGGTTGATTGCGTGGGCGCTTCTCACGTGCGACATATTTCCTCTCGGGTTGTTAATTGCCATGATCCTTCCGTTATGTGAAATCAGAACCTGGTTCATAGCGGGGTTTGTTGCGAATGGGTAACCTCCCATATTGGATACCTGACCGCCATTTTGAAGTTCCAAATTCCTCGACGCATTTTCCAGGTAGTATGATCCGGTATGCGGGGTGGGGGCGCTGCGACCCGACTTAGCTCTCCTGGCATAATAGTTGCCAGACTTCGTGTAGCCCGACTCGACACTAGACTGTGATGATTTTCGGTCGGAGCAAAAATGGGTCGGGTATGTTCGCATTTGGTATGTTGAGTGCGCATGACTTCTAGCTGAGTTGGCTACTAGTTTCCGATTACAAAACAAGGCATAGTAGCTGTTTTTTACATCACTTCTTAGAATTATGTAATTCAGAAAGAGAAAAAATCCGGTGAACGCGGTTGTAGCGGAATATAAGTAACTGAAGACCCAATGGCATTGCTTGTCGTAGAACAAAATCAAAGCTCCAAAACACCAGCTGAGACTCATGGAAACGAATAAAACTATAGCAGCTCTTAGTTTATAATGACATTTGCTCCTTGGGTTTTGGGGGACGGGGTATTTAGTTGGAGTGATTCCGGAATTGTTGGTCTTAAACGCCATCGAGGCTCTCAAATGGGCTGGCTCAAAAGTCGAGGATGGGACAACTTGCATTGGATGGACGATATCATTCGATCCATGGTTGACGATACCACCGCCGCCACCGTTAGATTGGTTGCTGTGCAATGATACAGCTTGAACTAAGCTCTCGGCTTCCGACAACATGTAGTCGTGTTCGGTTTTATTCATGCCGATACTCGTCGGCTTGCAACATACCGAGGCACTATTCGTGTCGTGTAGAAGTTCGGTAGTCGTTGTCGGGTAGTACAATACCGAAGATCCGCTATGATTGTTCGGCAAATTTAGATTCTGCTGCGAGTTAAAAGCCGAGTTGTTGTTCGGATACCTCTCGTGCATCGCGATGCATTGATTCAACGAAACTCCGTACTTCGATTGTCGGTCGCCGCATTTAGACGAGTCGTGTTTGATTGCCGACTGCATGTAACAATCTTCTGGTGCACAAATTAGAAGTCGGGTCAAAATGGCGCCAGAAATAACACACGCGGCCCCAGCTGGCACAATTAGAGATACAATGACCAGTTTGCTCTCCACCCAGCAGCTAAAACGAAAAAAGTTGAAATAAAAACTCAAGTGTGTTTTTTACAACCAATTCTGAATATTTTCAACAACATTTGTAAAATTTGAAATTCAGCTCGCACTTCTTTTGCTCACGGACATTTATTTTTTATGGTTTGAAATTTGAAAACAAAAATCTGTTTTGAGGACTTCACTTACAACTGATTGTCGCCGTGAATTGCGAGGCTTGCCAGTGCCGTCGCCACACACAGCACAGCCGGAACTCCCCATCCAAAAATGTAGCACTTAATTGCTCCTGATTTCCCAGCTCTTGTCACGTGACTTCCCTCTTCCGCCAAGTCCTCAAAATTTCCGTTTTTAGCTGACTTGCTTCTATGTGAAGCTACTGACATGTTTTGCGACGACCCGCTAATGTTTGAATTTTGGCCTCCGTTATTAGAAGGCGGTTTGTCGTGGGCTATTTGTGGGAACGTTTCCGCGTTCAGTTTTGATTTCCGCGAACTGGCTTGTTCGAAGAAACGACACACGTCGGAACAGTAGATGAGCATCCAAGTTGCGGTGGAAAGAGTGAAATAGTGCATGGTGATTCCGAGGAGTTTGCAGCTGATGAGAGAAGGGGGAGTTTGCAGGTTGAAAAACAGTCCCCACGAGAAGAGAGAAGACAGCAGGATGATTGAGGTGGAAATGTTCACCACAATGTGCATCGAGAGAGAACTCAGTGCGATTTGTCTGAAACATGCATAATTATCGTTGCAGTTTTTCAAAGAACAATGTCATATTTGTTTTTTGAAAATCATTTTTAGTTTAAAACTAAAATATTCAAGGAAAACCCCCTGGTGTTAATTCGGTCAGGTTGCTTAGCACCACTAATTTATCGAAGTTTGAGTGCCTTTTGGATCCTATTATGAGTTGAATTGAAAGATACCCTCAAACATTCTATTATGATTGTATACAACTCGAATTTTAGTTTTCCTCAATGGCAAAATTTCATGATTTAATGACTCACCGATGGAAAATGGTGAAAGTGATCACAATCAACAGACAAAACAGCACGCAGACTCCGGTTCCAATCTGGACTGGCGCCTCCATTCGCTGGACGAAGTGCCAAAAGTACACGCCCTGGTTAACTTCCCCGAACCTCGGCTGAGACACGGAGTATATTCCGATATTTGGACACTCGGCAATCGATAAGTTCAACAGTCCGTTGAATTTGACCTCAACTTTACATCCGTTGTCGCTCCACGTGTGTTTAGCAAATGACCAAGTGTCGATTTGAGCGTCAATTTTGGAGTGTGCTTCAGGAGTTAAAAGTGCAACTTCAGTTTTAGGATGCTGCAAAGGGGAGATTTGAACGCCCAAGTTGTTCATGTCGCCAAGAACTAGAAAAAAGAAATTACAGAACGTTAGTTTGAAAGTAGAGTGCAATTGGGATAAAAAATTTAGGGCATTTCTTTGACATGTATCAACACTCAAGTCTAACTTTTTAACCTGAACTAGTTTCACAAAGCTACATCAGTCAGCAAATCGTAATTGCTTTCTACAAGAACGATAGTTCTATAAGAAAGTTTCCACAAGAACAGTTTTGCAGATCCGTTATTTAAAAATATTTCTATAATTTGGCTATTTAAAAATAAATGGGAAACTTTGATGAACAGAAGTTCCTTTTACCTGCACTAGACAACAGCACGGGTCCAGTTTGAAACCAGAGGAATCTAGGGTCCCGGTCCCTTCTGGTTTTGGACTCCTCTGGAAAGAGACTGGCATTTCTGAGGAGGATGAGGTGCACTTTGAAGAAGTGGTTCTGCTGCACTGATCTGGAGTCGGACACTTGGAACAGTTTGGGATCTAATTTGAGCCCCGCTATCACCACCTTAAAAAGACAATAAGTTTAATCTTCTGGAAGAATTAGCTAAATGAAAGGAACTGCGAGGGTTAGTGAAAAAGAAATTGCCTCGTTGTTTTGTTAAAAAAATCAGAATCTCATGATCTTATTACTTCTATTCTGCCGAAGTTGATGATTTAACATTTTACAAAATTTTCTGTGATTCCAGACACTTATTTTCAAATATATCTTTTTATATTGATATTTCGCACCAAAATTTAGATTGTAATCAGTGCAATAAAATTTATGTACCTGTTGTTTTGATGTTAAATCACTTATATACTCCGTCAAGTCTTCGACCGGCGATATGCATCTAATTTCACTGTCCTCGAAAGACACCGAGTTCAAGTCGTCTACGTGGCCGTCGGCCCAATTGCCTCTCTTGATAATAACCGCACATGTAAGACCATCAGAAGGCTCAACGGATCTACGGTTTCGATTAGCATCAAGTGCGTTTATCCGAACCGTTTTCAGTACTGCATTTTCCGCCGAAGACACAAAGCTCGTATCGGCCATGTTTGAACATAAAGTGGCAAAATTTTGCAACTTTTTCACAATTTGACTGCACGATTTCCAAGCCGACTGAGCTTTGAGCAGAATTTCTGGATTGATTGACTGCAAGTTGCTGACGAGATGCAAAAGGTGATCGGTGATCTGAAAAAAAACTTCGACTACAAAAATTTGAAATGCAGTTGATGATATATTGTTGTCAGACACTAAGTTTTCCTTTTCGTAGAAAATCAGTTATTAAGCCCTGGACTAATTATTATAGGTCGAAAAAAGGTATTATATAAATCTCATTTAGCCAAAACACGAATTATCTGCAATTAATTGTTATAAATTGGACTTCATTAAAATCATCGCTTTCGCAAAAAGAAAAACGATTAGTGAGTGTTATATTCGATCCATCACACTTATATCTTATATCAACAGCTCTTTCTCATATTTGAAGTCTCACTTCAACTAACTGGAGACCTCTAAGTCGCACTAATCTTGACAGATCTTCAGTTAAACCATTCATAAACCAGACGTCGTGAGCTAACTGTAATGAGACTTCAATGAGAGACTTCAATTATGACAGGAGCGAACGTGTTAGAGCTTGACAAACCTTATACTTATCACAGTTTGAACATTATGATTACATTTTGTGCGCGCCTCAAAAAACAGCAATTGGGAGTTTTCGAAAAAAATGGGATTTTTCAGTGTTTCGGTAGAGCTAATCTTAGTCGAGTTAGTCGAAAAAAAAACTTTTCTGGACTTTCAAAAATAGATTGAAACCCAATAACTTCCGAGATTAAGACATAGTAACGTTGCTTGCTTCTAAAAACGATAGAAAATTTTAACTAGTTCAACATCAGACTGACCATAAAATCTTATTATTATGTAAGAACCTCACTACTTTATTATTTTTTATTCTAGAAAAATCTAGAACAAAACTGTACCTTGGTGTGGGATACAGCAATGAAAACCATGTCGTCTTCGTTCACGAATCTCCAGACATTGTTCACGATTTGGGCGACGAAGTTGATGTCTTCCACATTAGTCACCGAGACTGCATTTGCAGTTATGTCCACTAGCTGACGAAGAATGTCCAAATATGTTTCTTTTGTTATAACCTCCTGAACAAAAAATAAATTAAATCTATCTGAAATGAGTTTGAAAAAGGCTCTGCAAAAATTGCACATAAATCAGAAGTATTTATCAATTTTTTTTAAGTTCAACAGTTAAGGTTGGTGATTTCGGAACATTGAAAAATTCATTAATTGACAAAAAAATATATGATTTTTTCTTATAAAAGGAATTTCAAAATTTCAAGCTTAAACCAAATTTAGTCATCTTTTTTTGTTAACTAATCTCCATTAAAATTTTCATAAAAAGTCATTAAAGTTTTCATAAAGGAAAGTCAAATTTTCCGTAAAGTAAAGTTTCTCCGGAGAGTGAGAGTTAATTTCGAACAAACCTTTGTGAGTTGTGCCAATTGTCTCGAAATCGGGTTCGCAAAAGCACACGCCGAGTGGTCCACGACAGACCATCGACCCGAGTTGTCGCAGTTGCGGGTCGCTTTTGGGACTCCCGCCATCGAAGAATAGCCCGCGCTTTTTCCATGTGGACATCTTACATATTGTGGATGCGAAAATCCAGCGACTGTTTTAGGCCACGTGAAACTACCTTTTGAGTTTTCAGTAGTTTCTTTTGGACAAAATATCGCACTGTTCTCAAGTACCATAACATCCAAACTCAATTCAGTGATTTTTTCACCCGTACTTTTAACTGTACACTGCCATTGTCCTGTATCTTCGTGCTTTAGCTGCGATATTACTAACATACTAGTTAGCACTCCCTTTAATTCGACTAGAGTCTCGTGGAACCTCGTCTGCTGTTCGGAATCTGTCGCGAATTGACTTTTCAACTCGGCTACTGCGGTAGCCGTAGGCACTACTTTATTATTGTGCTTCCAAGTCAAGTGCATATCTCGTGCATTGACTGAAACGGAACAGTTAAGAGGAAGCTCGTCGTCTTCGAAGACAATTTGACGAATTGAAGGCGACATTTCGAACACGGGGAAGAATGAGTCATAGTCTAAAACAAAAAAATTGATGAAAATGAACCATAGAAAATTGCCAACAGACAGTTAGAAAAGAGTAAATGAACGCAAGTAAAAAGAAAAAATACTGACTTGTTTTTCAAAAAAAAAATTAAATTTCGAACGTCAAAAAAACATGGCCTTAAGCATTTTTGAATTTCAAGAACAACAATTAATGATTGACACTAAATTTCTTATTTCGCCGGAAAACCTGAAAGTTAAAATCCATTTTCGAAACTAGAAGTCGATCACGTTTTTTTGTGACCTTTACACTTTTGCTGTTCGATAGTTTCGATAGTGGGGTTTGTCTTCCTTTTAACAAAGGAAATGAACTGAACTGAAAAAAAAAATCAGAAGTAAAAAATAGTTCAATTCCATATTCTCACAGTTCTTCCATAACTTCAATAGTTCTTATTTGAACTTTAAATTATTTCTCTATGAACGATGTTGCCAAAACCTCAAGTATTGTGTGATTTAGGCAGTATTTCTAATATTTTATAAAGCTGTTTTTGTTAGATTCAATTATGTTTCTTCAGTTCTAGGCATTGATTGAAGTTTTTTGTTGAAAATTTTGCGGCCAATTACTGAAAAAACGGTTTGAAGTTTTCGATAAATGAATTTTCGAACTTCATGGATTGGTTTTTTAAACCATTTTTTTTCGTTTGATTAAACAAATTATTTGAACAATTATCGATTGTCAAATAAACGTCAAAGAGCCTCATTAGTAAGATAAGAATAGCTTTTCAATTAATCTATCAATACAAGTACGAAAAAATCACTTATTTTAGCGGCGCGGAGCAAGCAGGAGTTTTGGTAACAGGAAAAAATAAGAGCCATAACATTGACACCGCTACGTTTCTAAGGACAAGCTTAGCTTGAACCATGGTTTTAAGCACCATAGATTCGCAAATTATTATAATTCATGACCAGCATAACCAATTTTAACTCATGGATTTTTGTGACCATCTCGAAAACATGTGGTGATTTGAAAAGGTGCCGCTGTGTGTTTTAACGTCACCAGAATACTTGAGAGTGTCAATCAAAAATGAACTTAGTTTTGTTTTTATTACTCGCACAATTACACACGAGCAAATTTGGCTAAACTGAACACTTGTTTATGGCAGAAAAATTAATCACTTCAATAATACTCTTCTTAAAATGCAAAATTACAAAAAACAGATGCTGTTAAAATAATCATGACACTTACACACTAGATTCGAACACTTCAATATCTTATAGATTATTGAAAAACTATCAGCAAGTGACTCGTTTTAGAAAAAAGGGGGTGCTTAAAATATGACATTTATGCTATCAACAAGAATTCGAAATTGCTTTCCGCAATTTTTCCGTCAAACAACATATGACAATTCTGTCAATTAATTCAAAAAGATAAACTCCTAATGAAAGTTTGACAAAAACATCAATCAAAAAGAAAAAGTTACTTTACGATTTGGTTCAAATTAGAATGGACCTAATTTATTGAAGAGACTGTTGAAACACTTTGTGAAAATAAAACAAAACTTCAACCTCAGGAAAATAACTCTGTTTTTAGGTAATGTTGTTTTTTCAAGGAAAATTAGTTAAGCCACAGGTCAAGCGATTTTTCATATTGCAGCTCTTTCACTCTTGATTAGACCTGGATTGGAAAATTTCCAAAAAAAATTAATCAGTCTTTAGAAAACAGTTCGACAAAAAAAATAAAATGGATGAAATTGAGAGTTCCTCTAGATTAGGTTGAGATTAAATTATATTTTATGCGACTAAAATAAAAATTTTGTCTGATGCAATCTTTTTAGTAATTACTTAGGGGAAATAATATACGCAGCAAGCTTCATTTTTCTTAAATGCTTGTAAAGTTTTCACAACAGCATTTTTTTTCCAAGATTGTGATTTGGGGATTTACTGAACAATACCCCCCTTACTCGCTAATTCACTGTTTTTATTTACAGGGATGAAGATTCTTTGGCAGATAACATAGGGAGGAGAAAAGATTGTTAAGTAGATCCTGATTTGATACTCACTTCTGAACTCCTTGGTGGGCACTTGGGCGAATGGCCTGCCCTGCAGCTGAGGGGGGCTGCGACAGACCACGTGATTAGGCACTTGCACTTCGTTCTCCTCCGTGAACCTCTTCAGTCCCTTCGTACCACTGTCGCAGGCTAGTTGGGAGGAGTTGATGTCCCTGTAATTATAACTAATTAGTTAACACGAATTATTAAAATTGATCACTTGAACTTCGAATACCTCCTGAAAGCATGAATACATAAATAAAAGCATATCAGAAAAACAAATGAAAAAAAAAACAGTAGCAACCTTAACTTAATTGTTTCATTCCGTTTATTCTCTGACTCAGCAATCAATCGGAACATTCGGATCATTCTGACAAGTGTCAGCATCTCAAATATAACGTTAAAACCTTCCAACTTAAAAGTTTTAACTTTTACAACCGAATGCATGAATGCATGGTTGATTTGAGTTTTGGTCCGAATACAATCATTGAACTAAACAGCTATCTGAAGTATGTCACAACTGTCCGTCAACATTTCAAAATTTTGAAAAAAAAAATCTAACTATTCTCAAAAGTTGCTCAACTTTCCTCATTACCAAAACATCGTGAAAAAGTATCATGATAAACATCATGAAAAATCTTTACAATCCTATTAGTGGAAATTTTTGTATTTTTCTCGTTTATAACTATTTTCCGATTAAAAAATCTAAATAAATGAACTCTTACAGAACTCTCAAACTGGGAAGAAACTTCAAAACATCCGGGTCATAAGTCCACATGAAGTTTCCAGACAGGTTTCTGAAACAGGAAAAAATTTATTCAAATTAGCACAACAATTGAAAGAATAGTGGCATCGAAAACAGGTAAAACAGATTCATATTGTCTCTCGTCTGACTGTCTAATCTATTATTAATTAGATAGAAGATTTAAGACGCGTGCTTTTTCTTGAAAAAGATATATAAACGGATTAAACTTGAGGCCAACAAAGCTTACTGAAAATTTGAAAATAGTTGTTTTTTGTCAATTTCTTGAAAAGAATTTTTATTTTAAAGTTTTCAATTTTATCATTCAACTTATGATTTAAATGCAAACAAAATTGATATTTTATCGAACTATTTTGTGTCCAGTTTTTGAGCAAAAAATTGTAAAGCATTAAGAGAATCACAAATCTTGACACAAGAAAAAAGATGTGACGTTGAATACATCTCAAATAAAAACACGTCTCGCGCCATTGCAGCGCAATAAAATAGTCCCTCTCACAATGAGCCCTTCTTGAACAATGAGAGGACAATAATTGTTACAAACGGTGCGGAAAACGGAGACCTATCAGAATATATAGGGGACACAACTGCCCGCATGGCTGGTGCGTTTAACTGGCACTTTTATTGCACCCAGTGTTAGAGACTGGTTAGCTAGGATGGCGTTTATTGAAATTGTCAGATGGGAGATGGTTCAGGAATGGAATACAATTGAAGATTGTAATGGCAAATAACGCTTCACAGGCTTCATTGTTATGTAAAACTTCAACAACTATTTCCTAATCATTCAAAACAATTATTAATAACAAGGATAGCTGGTTGCTGTGCAGGTAGCACAGAGCTTTGAGACTCCAAAAAAATACGATAAAAATTCAAAAATCAAAAAAAAAATTTGACCAATGTTTTCATTTTTTAAAATTTTTGTTCAATTTTTTGTTATTTTTTTTTTATAGCAAAGGGTGATTGACGTAGGTTAAGAACGTAGAAAAGAGAGCTACTACTAGCTAAAATAACGTTAAAATTGTAGTAGAAATAAATTGTAAGAGGTCAGCTTTTTAATTTTTTTAGAACCCAAGTCAAGACTAACAGAGCTTCAAAGTGACACCGAAACGTGATTCACTACGAGTTTTCTTTGATTAGTCAAATTCATCGAAAATTTTTTTTTATTCTCATTTAGAAGCACAAATTTTGATTTTACATTTCAAGAATAGTGTTAAACATTATTCATCAGTCATTACTAAGATATCATTGGAAATAGATTACTTAGTAGTTCATTTAACGGGTTAAATTCAGCTCTAAAAACAGTTAGGTGATTTGAGTAGGCGTGTCATCTCAGAATGTTTCATTAATAATTCATTTTGAGAAATGCGAACCCCAAAAATAACAGGAAAGATAAATCGTAGCCCAAAATACGCAAAGGTTCAATAATTTACAAAAAGACGTAGTCATATTTGGATTGTACTTTGAGGCCCCGCGGACAATATCCGCATTTGTTTGAACAAAAACTTGGGTTAAAATTAGCATTTTTGAAAACAAACAACTATTCCAAAGGGAGGGTATTTCGCTCAGACAATACAATATTCCCGCCCATCCAAATCTGGAATAAAATAGCTATAACTAATCCAAAAAGAGGGCTAAATTTTCCAATACTTCTATCTGCATCAAATTTTACATATACCTTCCAAAATATGTTCCTATTAAAATATTTTCCAATTTGTGTTCACACTTCAGGGGCTTTTGCTCACTTGAGTTCGAGCTGAATTTGAAGTACAAATTTGTTTTTATTTTGCCCTGCCAGGCATGAAATAGTTTTTAATAAAATTGAACAATCGGTTAAAAGCAGAAAGGCTGTAAAAAGTGTAGTGTATTGGAGGCCGAGTGCTCAGTTGAGGATCGAAAGTTAATTTTTTTAAAGGATACTTACAGCCTCTGCAAGTTTTCCAGACCCTCGAAAGTTTCCCTGCGTACGAACGACAGCTGGTTGTTGGAAAGATCCCTGAAAATAAAAATATGATGTTAAAAATAAATTTCAGTCAAACTCTTCAGCTTGTTAAAAATCGATGCATCTTAAATTTTTGAGTTTGGATATAGAAAAAGGGAGGCTGTTTAAGATATTTCAAATATACATCTATAATAAATTATTAAACTCAAATATACATCTATAATATATTATTAAAACATATGTTAACTTTCAAAATTTTTTCCAACTTTGTAAGTCAAGTTTAACAAGCATAGAAATATAAATCACGCGCACTAGTTGATTTTATTCAAGCATGCAAGGTGGAAATGGGAATTAAAAACAGGAAATATTTGCCGCTTAGGGAAATTGATTTGATTATTTGTCTAAAGGGATGAATTTTCAGATGTTTTTTCACCTGTTCAATTCACAAGCTAATAGATCAGTTACCTTCCGTATTTAAGTCAAAAAGTGACATTTGGAGGCAGATGTCGATTTATAACTCATTCTTTTCAAGTGTCTAATTCTTCTGAATAATCTACTAGTTTTTATGGAGTTTTCAAAATAGCTCTAAACGTGTAGCGACGTTTTTATGATTTTACATCTTTTTTTAAAAGAAATTGTTTGGGATTTTGGTGTCAACGAACTTTTAAAGCGTACAGCCCAGGTTTCCAACGCAGTTTTAATTTCAGCAATATTATCAAAAAGATCATTCCAAAGAAACGTATTTTCTACTTGTCGAAAAGATAAAGGGGTTCGTACATTATCAAAAAATCTCAGGCACTACATGCAAACGCTTTCAAATTAAACAGCAGACAGTTTTTTGACAAAAACATTTTTTTTCGAAAATTCTGATTGCAGTCGAAGCACATGAATATGATATATCAACCGACTGCGTAAAAATGTCTTTGCACTATTTGATTTGCATGGAAAAGAATACGAATAGTAAGTTCCTTCCCCTTCTTGTTCGAAACAAAAAACAACGAGAGTATGCGAACACTTAGAAAATGTAACTTGAATTTTGGATTATTTTTTAAGTTTTATTAATCAGAACACACGTTTTCTTCTTCCCTTCAAAACGGAACAGATTTCCTCCGATTTTTATTGCCGTCATTTCTCTTCCCTCAACAATAAGACTGAGCCTGCTGTTTTGTTGGGGACTGTTTTAAAACACTACAGCGGACAAAGCGAGACCAGGTATTGCGGGGGTGATTGATGGCAGTGGTGTTTTGTTGTGTTGTTTAGTGTGACACACGGGTAAGTCGTAAAACGGGATTTTCTCTTTTCCAGTCCAGCGAGGAGGGGGGGGGGGGTATGTAGCTGTCTGCTTTGTGCCACTTGGCGCTTAAATCGACTGACGGACAGATGTGGAATAAGGCAAATCCATTATTCATTACACCACACCGATTAGAAGAAAGCTCATTTAGTCTAACATCATCAACGAAAGAGTAGATTTATCAACTTCGACAAATTGCTAAATATGTAAAATTTTTTTGACCACATTACATTTGCTTTAAAGTTCTGATATCTAAAAATCCTATTTTCAAGCTATTTTGTATGTTAATATTAGCCATAGAATTATTTTCAAGTTCTGCGAAAATTAGTATAATTGGATATTTCAGAGTGTTTCAAAATTAGTTGGTATATCGTTTTGTACCTTCCAGCATGATATGATAGTTTAATTTAAGAAGAAAAACAACAAATGGCCTTTCAGTCACGCCTGTCAACAAAAGCAAGCGTTTTCTCCACTTGATTGACAGGAATACGGGAGAGCTTTCAGGAAGTGATTTCTGAACAGGCATGAAATATTGAGTTTTCACTTCCTGAAGTTTCAGTTTAAATCCAATTCGGCAGGGAGTGCAGTGTTATTTGAAACTAGGAGGAACAAATCGAGAAATCGATTGCATGTTTAGTGTGAGGATGCCTGTGCTCTTCACAGCCGTCAGTTTAATTTTCAGACAGCAGATTTCGGTAAATAATTTACAAAACACCTGGGCAATATTAATCAATTTTCCAAACAATTCGATCCACGGAGTACATGAAATCCCGCGGGTTGGTCAGCTTAAAGAAGCCAAGGTTTCAATGTTTCAGCACCGCGTAACAAGCAAATAGTTTAATGTTTGCTCTGCCGCTATTTATATAAACTAATACTTATTCCTCATTACACAAAATCCTTCCCAATTTACGAGGAATGCTTTTAAATAAACAGGTCAGGGCATGGGCATTTCTACAACCAAACATTTTGATTAACTCCCATACGAATCTTGACAATATGTAAACTACAAGTAACAATCTTGTATACAAAACGTTCCAATTTATCGCACAAACACTTTTGAAAGGAACTACTGACAAGTCTTTCAAAATAAACGCAGTCATTGAGATTAGTTAGTGTCAAAATGGTAAAATTTTCAGTTTGACTTACAGGTCTTTCAGGCCCTTTAGTTTATTGAAGACCCCATTTGGAAGCTCCCTCAGTTTTCCGTTGTGAAAAGACCTAGAACACAAATAGAAACGGTTAGAGAAAAAAAGCTTCAATTCCAAAAAAAACAGTCATGGAAAGTTCTAAGAACGCACTTGAAAATGTCATTAAAATTAGTTTGGGAAACTCAGGCAACACATTTTTTTCAAGTTTAAAATTCAATCTGAGAAAACATATAGATTGTTTTCCATTCCAATATGACCCTCTTAAATAGCAGTTACAGAAAAGTCAACACGAAAACCAAGAATTCTGGCCGCAGAATTTGGAAAGTATCATTGCAGCAATGAAACAAATATCACCCTAATTTTTTGCAGCAGGTGTTCACTTCCGATCTTTTTGAACATTTATTGAACAGTCATAGTTCAGTAAATACATTCAAGATAAAAGAAAAGTTTTAAGATATTCATAAACAAGACTGCTCGTATCAGGGCAAAGCCTCGAATGTTACGACTGCCACTTAAATGGCCTCGAATAGTTGTTGATAAATTAAGTATTGCCAAACTATGAAATTTTTTGGAAGAATTTTATAGAGCGGGATAATTCGCCACGCGTGTAAATGACAAAACGAGCAGTGGGGGAGAATGCTAACTTGGTTCTAAGTTGAGATTTTTCAGCCAATCAGAATCGAGCATTTTACTTGCAGCGCTTGGCAAATTTAATAAACTCGTCTTTTTTTTTTTTTGGGGGGGGGGGGGGGGGGGGGAGGATGTTAACTTGATCCACATGTACATGTGCACATGTGCACATACGGCAGATCAAGAGCTCGATCCACCGAGCGACTAGAGTTTCTTAAAATTGGTCTGAATAAAGAAACCACCCGAGCAAATAATTTCCTAAATTTCTCGAAATGAAATAATCCCTAAATTTGTTCGAAAGGCGTTCTGCGCGCTAAACATGCCAAAATATCTTAATCTAGGGGAAGCGCGTGCCGCAAAAAGCTATACTTTTTTGTTTACATTTTTAAAACACTTATTTGCTCAAAAATAGTTTTGAGTGCGACAAAAAAAAACTTTGCTAAATCTGGTCCTAGTACAGAGGAAAATCAAAACGGCTCACCTAAAACAGCGGAAGTTTTTTTCAAAAAAAACTGCACATGTTACTATCAAGAAACACATTTGTCGAATTACAAATTATGTAAGCTCTTAGCAGTTCACAAAAAAGTGTATAAAATGTTCAGCAAATAGGAACTTCGCTTCCTATTATGAGATTTAGAATAGATATATGATGTGTTCATGATATATGTATGATATGATTAAAACATATATGTAAATGATGATTCAGAATACAAAAACCTGAATCACAATATAAACAAGACTGCTCGAATCAGGGCGAAGCCCTGAAAGTTCAGACTGCCTATTAGCGTTTATGGAGCAGTAATAACATAAACAACATAAAAAAATTAAATGAAATAAAATAAAATGAAAAACGTTTTTTCTAAAATTTGAAAATTTTTCTATGAAAATCATCCCCCACACGCCATATAAAGTACAAAACAATAGATTTCGCTCGTTGTAACAAATCAATTATGGCAAATAAGCACCTTTCAACCAATTTGGAACGATTTCTAAGACGGATTAAATCTCCGCTTACGCGTTAATAGCGCGAATTATATCGCGCGTTTTTTCCCCGAATTGGTCAAAATGGCAATCTTTAAACCCTCATAACTTTACAAAAAAAGTAACAGGTGAAATATCTTTTCAAATTTAAGCTCAGGACAACAATACTTTTTGAATGATATAAAAAAAATTCCGTCAAAAATTTTACAGAAAACGTTTTAAAAAAGTCCATGACAAAAACTTGTTTTTATAAGAAAACTAAACAAAAAGACCAACTCGCAAAACTTATGGAAATCGCAACTTATGGAAAAATATCCAATTGAACTAATCTCTTACGTTTCCACACAAAATTATCTGGCACAGCGGCAAACAAAATTATATCACTCGTGCCAATTTTTAGCGCAACGCAGCCAGCGTTCGCTCATTGCCAATATCGCCTTTTGTATAGCCGATTTAAATTTGCGTTGACAGCGACCTTACGCTTTGCGAGTTTTACATTTCCGCGAGCTTCCGTGTTTTTTTTTTTAAATTATTTTAAATTAGCCCCCGGCCTGCTCAGTGCAGGGCCAACCGTGGGGGAGGGAGATGTCATGGTGCCCGTGTGTTATGAGATACTTGCATTTAACATCAAAATGACAATCAAAATTAATTTAAAAGATAAAAGAAATTCGATGAACAAAAACCACTAGTTATTAAACTAAATGGCTGCGATCATTTTTTTTTAAATTACCACTACTTTTCTGCAAAGACTGAGTTATTTTCATTCTGCAAACTCACAACTTTTTCCCGAAAGTCTAGCCAACTTTACAGTATAAGAAATCTGATTAAAGGTGGTTTTATTTAAGTTTTCATTACACAAGCTAACATTATAAAAAAACAGCGACAAAATTTGGTTTGAAAAATTTTTTAACAGTAGCGAAACTCATATTGTGTTAATCATTTCTCATCTGCTTGTAAATAAAAAAGAGACCATCGAAATGCAAAAACGAACCAAAAAAGATGTAAGAGTTGAAAGTCAAGTAAATGAAATTAAAATTTCAACTTCTTGTCTCGCATTTGAAATGACATATGAAGAACGTGACATACCAATAAAAATACGACCAAACAAGAAAAATATATATCTATTAATCATATACATTTCACTCCCATTTAGTTGTTTATTAGCTGACTAAATCTAAGTCACAATATTAACATCGATATTTACTTTTTTTAAATGTCAGAAAGACAAAATGGCACTGATAAAAAGCACAAAACGTATAATTGTGACTTCTTGTAAATAGCATTATTTTAGTTTCAACCGCATGTAAACATCAATATATATATTTTTAAAAAAATAGAGTCAAATGAAATCTAAAACTGTAATTTTTTAGGTTTCAATCAAAATCATTGAAACAAAACGATAGCTCCGGTTTAATTCTTTATTTAAGGGACGCAATGTCTCAGAAATTGATGGACACAAGAACAAATAAATGCGAAAAAAAGCACAAAAGAAATCTGTCACATTAAAACTGCCAAAACAGAAAAATAAAGATTTTTAATACGTTCAGCAGGCCTGTCATTTAAATTCCATGTCAAGAGTTTAGATTGAGCACTGATGAATAATTGAGATTTTGAGGAGATATTCTCAATTTATGCTTTGATTGAAGAAAAACAAAAACGAGCTAAAGACAAATTCAGCTGTGGTGACGTTAAGAAATCGATTATTTCAGAAAATGAGGATAAAAAAGTGTCAAAACCAAAAATAGATTTTAGCTACTTTAACGACATCTATTTGGCAGAAACATAAGACTATTTGCAATTCAAAAAAGGGGGCTTTCGTCAAGAACTCATTTTGGCATTTTTTGATTTTAGCAAGGGAAAAACTAAAATTAATCACACAAAAATGAAAATGTCACCATCTTTGCGAAAAAATTTATAGAACATCTACACATTTAGCAACCAGCTTTGTTTAAAATTTCCAAAAAGTTGACATGATAGTTAAAAATCAATGGAAAAAAGGTTGTTGCCCCTTTCTTTTCAGTTGTTTTCACACCGAGCTGAAAAGCCAATCAGGCAAAGGTGATAAGGATGATGCCATGATGAAAGTGGTTTTTGTTCACACCTTCAGCCACTTATCTTTCAACTTCAGGCTTAACAACTGAAGAAGAACCACATGTACAATTGATGGAATAGAGAGAATCCTGTTATATTGAAAATATTCAGCTACTAATCTACTAGTTTTCAATCGCATGGCGACTACTCGTCGGAGGCGACAATTGGTCGCAACTAAAAATCTACCCCAATTAGAATAGGCGACAATTCGCTTTGCAAGGATGCTTAATCATAAGTCAGTGCTTAGTAGTTCGCTGAAACATTTCATATCAAATCCAACACTTGCTAAGGTGTGGGCGTTTGCTAACAGTGCATTGCAAAATCAATTTATTTCGAATTAGTTTTCTATTTATTGTGGAAAATGGCTTTGCGGCCAATTGTCTCTTTTTAATGCTACCAATTGCCGCTTGCGACAAAATGTCGCGCCAGGTTTCTCGGCATTAGCGAAAAAAAATTCAAGTTAAATTTCAAGTACAAAAATCACTTTAATAAGCTTATTGTTTTCAAATCCGCGAAGCTAGAATATTGCATAGACTACTATTTCAAAAAAAACTCCAACATAATTTCATAGTTTTTTCAGTTGATGATAATTTGCAAAGTCAAGATTTCTGATAAACGCTTTTTCATTCACGCAAGAAGAGAATATTTTCATTTTCAAATAATTTTGAGGCATTTGACTAGAAATGAGGTTTAGTGCATTTTTCTTTGAAAAATAGGCAATCTGTTTTATTCAGGAAAAACGTCGCTATCAGGCTATTCTTTTTAATCTAACACAAGTACAAAATCACATTCGCCTTTGTTCAACTCAAAATAGCATTTTAAATTCTGAGCAAAAATGAAGGCAGGGAAGATGGTAACAGACTAAACAACTTGTCTGTGTGGTGTGGTGTTTTGCAATAGCTAGTTACTGATTGATTCGACTGATTGCTATTTCTTTGCCACTCTAAATCAAATTAAATTACGGTCAAAATTAAACTCGTAACGCACAGCCCGTAAAGGACAGTCTATTCAATTTTAGCCCAGAAATCAGTAGTAAGTTCATTGCACTGCAAGTTGAATAGAGCCTTAAAGCGTTCTCATTTGCCAGTTGCGCGGTGCAGTTTATCAATTAGAGTATTGTTTGTCTGGAAACATCCCAAAAAAACTGGAATGGTACTTGAAAATTTGCACCCAAGCTGATTTGATGTCAGTTTAGAAGAAGAAGCAACCTTAGCGGTGACTCATAGTTGATTGTTTGAAAAGCTACGTATCTCTGATTCAATTATGATGACAGGACACTTTAGCATAAAGAGCACAAATTAACTTATCCTTGAATTAAAAAAACAAGCAAACTTTTATGAAGAAAAAATCGACAATTTCTGATGATTAAAAGCAAAAATGCAAAAAAAACTGCAACTACTGTATAAAATTGTAAATTAGACTTTCTAATTTTTGAAAAATCGTTGTTTAGGTTTTAATTTTGCTTGGATGTTTAACTTTGAAACTCATTTTTTAACATTTTCATCTTCATGCCCGACTGAAACTTTGATGTAAATTAAGGATGCAAACTCGGCGCTGTTATTAAAAAAGCTCTAAACAAGTAAAAAGAGACAGGGATTAATTATTCACGACCATGTTCATACGATCCCATTAAAAACAGAAAAAATAAAATGACCTTTCCAATTTTTTCCAAATCTGACCGAAAAAAAACTGTTATTCGAATATTTTACCAATAAAAGCATGCAGCTTTTATTAACCGTCCGCGCCGTACGCTTACAGGGAACTTATTGAAAAAAATTAAAACAAAAGATAGCAATATGCAGTAATTTGGTCACTCTAAAATTGACATCCATACCCTTGTATTTTTCAGTAAGGGAGGGGTGTATTCAATAACAGTCTATTGAATTTTAACAAGTGTCTTTTTGAAAACAGGGAAAACATAATTACAAAATTTTTACTTCTATATATCAAAACTGAGGAGCACGAATACACCTTACTGCCTCTTAAAAAGAAAAATTTTATTATAACTTCAAAAAAGTACAATTTTTGAAGGATTTTTTGATGACTCAAACTTGAGAGAAAAAAAAATTTAATGAGGACCAATCGATCAAGATGGATCATAAAAAAGGGTAATTAATACTCTCCTAAAATGCATTAAAGTTGCAAGTTTTATTAGAAAAGTGAGCAAAATTCTATATAGCAATTACATAATCCGACCTTGATGCTAAAGCAGAATTGTATGAAATATAGGAACATAAAAATTGCAATTATATTTAAAAGCAGGCGAACTTTAAAGAAGGAAAAAAATACAAACAAAAAATATTGAGAGAGGAGGAGAAAATGCAACTATGCTAAGAGGCAGTTTTAGACTGCAGAAAGACTCGTCTACAAGGCAACACATCATCCTATTGTCTTATTTTTTCAGCTTTTTTTCAACTTGACTTCCTTATTAATCAGAAAACCTCAGATTAAAATTAGAATGACTCTATTCTATTCAAAACCTTCACATAATATCAAAAACCTATCAGATACAACAAAAGAAATATCGAACTAAAGGTCTATAAAAATCAAATTATAATTCATGTAAATGACTTAAATATGAAATGGGCGGTTTTTAGTTAGCAAAAAACAAGGGAATTTTGACACTGATATACGCGATGCTCCTCTGAAACGCCTTCCGCTGGCGTAATGAGTCAATTAACTTCTAGAATCATTAAAAAACATCTGCCTAGAGCCATCGTAAAAACCAAACAATCGTTTCATGGAGTAAAAATTATAAACTGAAACCTCAATTTGTTAACTAAAAACCAATACAAAAAATTTTAAAAAGTTATTAACAATGATTGAGTCATTTGCATATATTGCGCATCAAAGTTCGAAGTGCCAACTAAAAGGATGTCGCAGAGCACAGCAGGAAACTGCAGCACCAGAAACATAAAAAGACGCATATCAATTTTGCTCAGAAAATCATGTGGATTTAACAATTTTTCAAGGGCTATCACGCTACGATAGCGACATGAACCGACCAACACTAGTCATTATTGCATCACGGCTGAAAACTCAAACTTAAATATAGAAACATCGATTTGATTGACAAAACCAGCTCCAAATCAATTATTTTGTTGGTAGTTAGGAGCCTCAAAAATGAATCAATCAATTTTCCACAACATGCGCACACGTGACATTGAACGAATGGTATGAAAGTGGCGTGGCTTCAATGTGGTAAAATATCCAATAAATCTATAAAAAGTCAAGAGGAGATTTTAAAATGTTCGGCATGAAAAATAACAATACATACATTGATATTTTTCGGCGCCTCCGTTTTCGAAAGTCGCATTCATTGGAATATGCTGGAACTTTTCTACTCCAAAAAATCCAATCTAGTCAATTTACGCTTTTCTCAAGCCCCAGCATCCCTATTCCACCCCCCCCCCCTCCAAAAAAAACGGAGACAAAAAGATTCAATGAGTAATTTCTCAACGGTTTTGCAATCAGTCATCAATTGAAGTGTAACTAAAAAAGGCGATTTTGCCGTTTAATGATAGAACTTAACGACTAAGTGGTGGCGCTGGTGGCAATTACGCGGACGATTGGCGAATTCCGGAACGAGCGCTGTCACTTTTATTCGATTCACGTGAAGTTTCATGAAATGAGCAGCGTGCTCTGTTCAATTTTCTCGCTGCTAACACAGTGTTGTTTTAGTTTAATCTGTCAACAATGCCATGACTGATAGATGTTCGGTTGAGTGTTCTTACCATCGATCGAAAAAGGCTTAAGAGATTATGCTCATTTTTACTATAGACTAGAATAAGCACAGGCATGTGTTTGTTTTTGCACGTCTGATGGTCGTATACGATCTCTCTGAAAAGTCATTATCGATTGATTAATAGCTACAAAACTAAAATTAAACTACGAATCAAAAACATAAATTGAAATCCTAATTTATCTTCAAATTTTCAGAAACTCAACAAAATTTTTCAAGAACACAAATTCTTCTTCTCGCAAAAAAACATTTTGGAATTTCAAATTAATACTGAATTTTCGACCCAGAATTTTCGATTTTAAATAAGTTCAAATTTTGAGAAAAAATTGTATATTTAAAAAAATTTATTTGATAGATCATGTTTTCTTCACGGATTTTACTGTAAAATGTAATTTGAAGCTGACGGAATAAGCGTTGAATAAGAGTTCAATTCAATGCCACCATTTGAAGTAATCCAATAAAACTTTCAGAATCCGTCTTAATTTAAAACCACTGTCGTTGACCTAAATCAAAGCAGCTTTTTCATTCTGCAGGATCATATATCATTTCCAAAGGGGCATGGGTATATTTTGAGACATTTTTGACCAACAACAAACAGACATTTCCACTTAAGCCATTTGTTAACACTCAAAACTTGAATATAGTATTTCGACGATTACATATAGCATTTCGAGTAAATGCAATATTCTTCAAAATCTCAAAATTTTGCCCAATAACCTAAATTTTTGGACAAGTAAAAAGGAATCTACCCAAATATACGACAAGTGGGTTGGATTCAAAAAGAAATTCAATCCTCAGTTGGTAATAGCTTTATATCAAAACCTGTTAGTTATAGAAGTTATAGTAATTTGGAGGGCTGACGCGGGTAAATTGGTCGAATAAAGTACCACCCGGACCCGGGCTAGGCATGGTACTAATCCTGTATTTATGGGCTAATAGGCGACTGGGGCTAATTGAATGAGGCTCCGGGATTTGACCGATTACACCAGTGATACTCTCATTCTTTGCGGCTAGCTAACATGTACTAACTTAAGTAACATCTCTCATATAATATCGATAATTAAGTTTCTCATTTTAATAGATCGAAAAAAGTTTTGAGTAGCTTCAAAAACCCAAAAACTTTTAAAACAATTTAATAATTTATCATTTCAATCATAGGTAAAATTTAATTCAATTTAGGGATATAAGAATTCAAAAAATCGGCTGCAAAACGGAAAACTGACACCATACACAAATTAGATCCCAAAAAAGCTAAATCTTTCATTATTTGATATAATCCAACTTAAAAACTTCATAACAGCTTTCGAAACATACATGTTATGTTTTAAAAAGAATAGTATGAATGAAATTTTGTTCATAGCGTTGGTCACGTGTTTAGGAGTCCGCGTGGTCAAAATTGGGTCGCCTAAGACAGGGTACAAAGTTAGATTTGGTGGGTAAAATGGTTAAAACGGATTAAGTTGGATTAGCCCCAAATGCCAATCAATTTCCATCAAATAAGTTCCGCCAAGACACATAACACCAGTTTTCAGCGCTTTAGAATGAGATTTAACTTTTTAAGTTACTAAGTTCAACCACAAACTCCACGATATTTTGCTTGAAAAGAGAAAAACCGGTCGATCAAAATTATTGAATTACTATAGGCCTCCATGTGATCAAAGGTTAAACACCGCGCATTTAAAATTAAATAATCGAAATGAGAATTGTAAAATTCGAATCATGAACACCCATTTAAACTTACAAAATTTAAAAAAAGTATAATTTTCCTGTTTAATTGGCGATCAAAACATGAAGCCAAGTTTTGGAAGCGAATTTGAAAATTTAAGGTTCCTTTACTTACAGTTTGGTTATAAGTGTATTTCCAAACGTCCCTTCTGGTATATATTCAAAGTCTCCATTCTCGAAAGACCTGAAACAACAAACGAGGTAAAAGAGTTGCTAATGATGATCATTTAAGCTCTTTTCTGAAAGGTTTCCTATTCCTTATCAAGACGTAATTAAAACCTAAGATTTTAATTTTTTCACTCGGATATTATTTCATGAAGGTGATTTCCAACTGATGACTCATAGCGCCATTGTTTGACATACAAAAGTACCTGTTAATTTCGAGCTTTTTAATATTTTTCTTTATCAAGTCAACGACGCGTGAAATGTTGATACATATTAATGGGCACTTTTATACAAAGGCAGCCAGATAAATGACCTAAGTAAGGTCTGGTTATGACATTGAGGCGTGAACAATAATGGGATTGAAGGGGTAAAGTATGCCCTTCTTGACTTATATAGCCCCTTTATTATAACACTGAAATGCTCTTATCAGTTTGAAAATGAACTTCAATTTGTTTGAGGGGTGAATTTGTCACATTAATGGTGGAAATTTACAATAAATCTACAAATCAAAATTTTCTGCAAAGAATGAAACCAACATTTCTACAAACACTTTTTTCAAATCGGGCTTTAATATGATATATCGCTCAACGCAGTCCAATGATTATTTGTGGTACCTGAGATTTTGCGTGAAAAACACAAAAATGAAAAAAACTGAGCACACCCACCCGAATACGAAGTTCCTTCCCATTTTTTTTCAATGGTCGGAACAATAACTTCTCGCCATCTTTCGGATGATTTTAAGCAGAAAAATTTCGTCAGCAACCCATCTAAACTTAAGGGACCCAACTTTCATACTTATACCAAAAAATTTTTATATCTGCAGATATCTTACCATTCAGTAGAAGATGCAATCAGAACATCGCTTTTGAGGGGACTTTTGAGACCAGGACAGAAATTACCACTGATGGCACTGCATGTACACTGCATTGGACATCCTTCCACAGTCCTGATCGCCACGAGCGCCCAGTTTACTAAACTGGTTATTAACATTAACCAAAGATGCGACATTTTGTTCCTAATCAACCAGTTCAATGATTGTCAAATAAAATTAACAACTCATTAGGGTTTTCACAATTTAACAGTGAAAGGAAAAACGAGAAGGCGCCAAAATAAGTAATGAATTTTTGTAGATTGGCAAAAATCTTGCTTTTTTTTCTGTAAAATGAGATAAAACGAGTTGTTTATCAGTATTCATAAATGGTAAGAATAGCGACAAATATTTTGACAGGAGGATCAATTTCCGCTAGTGAAAAGATAAGAACCGGTGTGAAAAAAAAATGAGGAGGATTATCGCAATTGGTTATTTGTGGGACCGTCAACCAATGAGTATTATCCCGGATTTACTAACACAAGGATGAATCTACTTCGGAATGCAAACAGAAACTAACAACTCGACAACTTGCAATTTGAAAAAGCCATCGGGACAAGTCTTATAATGATTTCGCGACTTCCGAGAATTTCCCTGAGGCAAATTAAGAATCAATTAAAAAGTTTTAATTAATTACAAGTATACAGCAAGGCCATCAATCAGACTAAGGCAACGGCAAAAGAGACATTTAGAGTTAGAATCAAACTTTACATTTATCAACGAAATATTTGATCGCTCGATCAATCAAGGCTTTTCTGAATTTAATGGGTGATTGTTTAATTAATTCTCCAATGAACCAATTAAAGGGGAATTATTACTTGCTAGTTTAAGCAAGACTAGCAGGGGAAATAAACTGAAGTTTTTTCAACGCTAAAATTATAAAAAACCATTAGCAAGAAAAGCAGTTTTGCGCTAAGGTTGACCCTGTTTAGAAGGAAAAGGTAAAGTTAGGGTTCGTTGAAAATTGTTTTGAAGCCTGAATTTAAACCCCTTTTAAATTCCACACAAAAGGAAAACGACAAGACGGCTGGGCAATAAACTGCGTTTCATGTAATATAACAACAAAATTCAGCAGCTTCAAACGAACTCAAGATAGGGTGAAGAATTTTGAATCTCAAATTTTGCAGGAAGAGTTTTTGAAGTCGGAATTTTATTAAGGCAGACAAATTGAAGGCACAATACCACATAAAATTTGAATGAAATTTATGTTTATTCAAAGCCCAGGTAACTAAAATCAATCAATCAACTAAATAAGTGTTTTTTTTTTCTTCTGGAGAGTTTGAGTAATTTCGGGTTATTGAACCTCAATTAATGAACACATTTTGTATGAATTCTGATTAAAATGATCAATTTTGAAACATTAAGATGACGCTTGAATACAGGTTGGATTGAGGCCTGGTATTTCAAAATGAGAAAAAAGAAGAACAATTTTTAAATTGAGATATTTTTTATTAATCTCATCTCTTTTTTCATCAGAACTGCAGTTGTAAATTACTTCAGCATTTTAGCAGTCATTTATTTTTAATCCAATTCGTGTTGACTGTTTGACAAAATAAGGCGGTCATTTCAGCACATTGGATTAAAGCGAATGAGATATTTTCATTTACGAAAAAAATTGAAGAGACAAAATATGAGAATTGATCAAATAGAATTGTCGTATTTTCATTTTAAATATAAGGCGGAGTATTATTGCATATACTACAACACGCTTATTGTTTAACATAGGTGCTAGTTTGGCCGGATATTTTTTTTCACCTCCTCGCAACCTGATTGGTCAATAATTCCGACTCTGTTCTATTATGTTTCGCGTCTGTCAATCAAAATCAATCCGCTGTCACCGCGGCCTTTATATAATTTAAAAGCAGCTGCCGTCCGGCCTCAGCGCAGCACGCGAGCATACCGGCCGGACCACTGGCAAGCACTGCACGCATGCATTATTATGTAATCAAAAGTGGGGACCAACGTCCAACTTACCACAGTGTCTCCCGCCGCCACCTCAACCAACCAACCTTCGCCAAACTTCCCGCCAGACCGAAAACTCTTCAAAGTTTCCAACCTATTCAGTTCTAAATTTCCCTTTCCATTTGAAAAAATTTCCCAATTTTCCAGCGTCAAGATCAAAAAAACTAAAAACTAGAAAAAAATTTCTACAAAACATTTGAAATTTGCTGTTTAAAATAGCTTTTTCAGCTATTTCTGCAAAATGGGCGTTCGGTTAGCTGGTTGAATAGCTTACCGGGTAGCCATTTTCTTGTGTTTATAGTTTGATTGTTGTATAAAGGATTTGTAACAATTTGTTATTGCAATGGTATGATCTAAGTCTCCACCATTCTGATATTGCAATCATGTTTTCCGCTTTTTATCTTAAACCGTCGATCTTTCCCCCAATTAATCTAAACTGTCTAAATAGTTTCCAAAAAACAGCAGAACTAATGGACCATAAAAGGATAGAAATCACGTCTGCTGACAGGTGTTAATCGCTACAGATCAAAAAGTGTGGTTGTTTTTAAAAATTGCTGAAACTATTTTGTTTCAAAGAAGTAGCTTAATAAGTATATTTCAGCCATCTTTTTTAGTTTTAAGCCGAATGGCGCAAGTTTTTAACTTAGCATCAGTCAATTAGTGAAAAAAATAAACCCACAAAATCTCCGAAAAAAATGGGGCTCAAATAAAAAATATATCTTTTTGTTCCGACTTTCGATACGAAAGTAACGGAATATTTGTGCTCGGGGTGGCTTTTTTTTCTTCAGACAAATTTCGACTTTTTAACTAGCCATTTTTGACGGATTTTTTAATATCATTCAAAAGGTATTGTTGTCCTGAGCTCAAATTTGAAAAGATATTTCACCTGTGATCATTTTTCGTAAAGTTATGAGGGTTTAAAGATTTCCATTTTGGCCATTTTGACCAATTTGGAACAATTAACGCGCAATATAATTCGCGCTGTTAACGCGTAAGCGGAGATTTAATCCGTCTTATAAATCGTTCCAAATTGGTTGAAAGAAGCTTAGTTGCCATAATTGATTTGTTACAAGGAGCTAAATCTATCTTTTTGTACTTTAAATGGCGTGTGGGGGATGATTTTCATAAAAAATTTCAAATTTAAAAAAAAAATTTATTTTTATTTTATTACATTTAATTTTTTGTTATTACTGCTCCATAAAACCTTAAAATGTTATTACTGCTCCATAAAACCCTAAAAGGCAGTCGGAACATTCAGGGCTTCGCCCTGATACGAGCAGTCTTGTTTATATTTTAGGACCCAAAAAGCAGCAACAGAGCGGATGAAAAAATATAGAACAAAGACTCTCAACAAAGATAGTTTTGCAACTAAAACCGAAACCAGAAATGGAACTTCAAATTGTCAACCGATTGAAAAAAAGAATATACAGGTTGAGCAAAACTCGTTTGACAAAAAAAACAGTAGCGAAGTCGCACTTGCATTCACAAAATGACAAAAAAAGTTTTATAATAAAAATGAAACTGTTTTTTTTTTCAAGTTGAAGCAAAGGTAACAGAATTTGGAAGGAACTAATGAAATCAAGTAAACGACAAAAACAGTAGATTTCTTGAGAAATTGTTTTTTGAAATCAAAATAATATAAAAATCTAAATAATAATAAAACTTTTCGGACAGTAAAAACTTTCATCAATTGACCCGTTTTCGATAAAAAACGGTGACACAATAAAACTGAATCAAAACTAATATTTTTATTTCGCTGGTCATCATAAAACTTTAGGTCCAATCGTGAAGAAAAGATGGAGAAGAAACCCCATTTTTAGCGGCACTGGCACTTTGGTATGAAAAGGATTAGAGCTGCGCTCACAAAATTTTCCTAAAATTGAGCATCAATTGCCCAATTGTCAAAAAAAAGACGTGAATAAAATCTCGCTGATATACTGCGAGAAACAGTGAAGGTGGTTGAAAAAACTGAACTGACCCTAAAACACAGCGCTCTTAAGCTCGCTTAAGTAATGAGGATAACCAAGATATAAGATAAAATCCGAAAAATAAGTCTAGCGAATCGGAACTCATGAAACAACTACCATCAGGGGCGGATTAAGAGTGAGGGGGCAGATGCCCATCCCCCTCATGCATTCGAGCCCGTTACGTCCAAAACGGTCGACCGTTTAACACTATTTAACGACATTCCTTTCAAGTTGAAGCAAAGGTAACAGAATTTGGAAGGAACTAATGAAATCAAGTAAACGACAAAAACAGTAGATTTCTTGAGAAATTGTTTATATTGGTTATCTGAGAGATTGGTTATATGGTAAGTTTCTACTTTGTCGTATGTCGTCTCTGGTTCGAGGTCTTCTTCCAATTCCGGGTAGTTCTCTTATCGTTCGGAATATTGGCTTTGATCTATTGAGTCGTAGAGACATTTCGATTAAATTATTGTCGTGTAACATTTTAAAAATGTTTTGTCTAATTTCTAATCTATTTTTGGTTAATTCTAAGCTATTAAGGTCTTGTTCGAGACTTATGGTCGCACCAGATGAGTTAGGACCGAAGTGTATAACTCATAGAGTAATTTCGGATAGGGTACACCGTCTGCTCGTCACGCTATCTTATTTTCGGCCGGATAGATTCGTGCAACTTCTTAGTCTAATACCAATCCTAATCTTACTCTTATACTATCTAGTCTCAGGTTGTTTAACTAGTCTCTGCTAGGCTCAATAGATCTAGGGTATACTGGTTTATTGCGGCTGCTGAAGTCTTCTTGGAGAGTCAACTAATTTCTAAGTTAAATTCAAATCTCTCTGGTGCTGAAATTACAAGTAATTTCAGCACTTACAAATAAGTGGATTGTTAGTCAGATGGATCATGATTGGTTAATATTAAATACTTTACATTGGTAAAATATCTAATTTATCCAATCATAAAATGTAGTTTAGATCAGGTTCCACCCATCCGGGTTTTACAGAGTTTTTTTAGAATAGTCTTTCTGTAATTCAAAGGATGTATGATGGACGTTGGTATTTGGCGAACATCATATTTCTTCTGGGTTCTCTTGTTAGAGAAGTTCCAGGTTCAATCGTTGTGTCTTCTCATGACAACGACTGGGTTTTCGCAACAAACTCAAATCTGATTTCAGAATGGTTGGCTATGTCAGGTTTTTCTGTTTCATTGATGAGAACTTCTTTGTGTTTGATCTTGTCTGGGAATGGCGTGGAGATTGTGCGTGGAGGGGATGCCTGGTTACTCGGATCTGTATGTATACTTGAACATCGAGGTGGTCATTGGTCTAGTTCAATGAAGTCCTTTTCTGCGAAGTCAAGTCGTACTCTAAATCCTTTGAGTTGTGTTTGTGAGCGGCATATCGATTGTGGTTGGCCATTCTTTTTCGAGTGTAGTGGGGTCGTTTTGTCTTTGGATGTTCGTCCTTGGTGTTGTATGCTGATCTATATATTGCATAATATAATTTACATTTTATAAAACTTTTATTAGTTTAATGTTTTTTAATTATGATTTTGGTTAGTTGTTTTCACAAAAGCTTTTTGTTTTAGTTCAGTTATTTTGAAGAGTTACTCACTCTTGAGTTGCTCTTATTAAAAATAGGAGTGTGTGTCACAAAGCGTGGATGTAGCGCGGTGGGTTAGGCCGGCTATAGAGCATGCTCAGGACGTCCTCTTCTGGTGGGTTAGGCCAGGAGTGGGAGTATGATTGTATGCGGTTTTTGTGAGAGGTCCTGTTATGTGACAACGTTTTATGTTGGGTTTGTTGTGGTTTTTCTTATGTTTTGTTGGTTGTGTCCTTTTTCAAAAATCAAATTGTTTGTGGTATGGGTTTGTCTTTCGACTTTTTTGTGTTTTATTATTTCTTTCTTAGACTTTATAATAGTCTTCAAAAGAATAAATTATCCAGTTTTAAACTGGGTTAATCCGGTTTGGGTACCGTTGGTTTCCTTTTCTTAGTCATGCTGTTATTCTATGATTTGTGGTGTTTAGTAAGCTGCGTTGGTTAGTGTTGTTTAGTATATAATTCCTTTCCAACCGGGTTAAAGGAAAGTTTGAAACTTGTTATCGTGTGTTAGAGTTGTTGAGTGTGAAAGCTTGAAACTGAAATTCATTATTTAAACAATTCTTCGTGGGCGAGCTGTGCGAGTTTGGATAGAATTCTTGTGCGAGTGAATGAAAATATCAAAAGGTTAGTACTGCATTTGCGTTTTATTAATTTACTACATAGAAATTCAAATTTTACTGCTATTTGTTGGGAAAAATTAAGTTACAAATTTTCATCATAATTAGATTTACTGCTTGTGGGGAAAAAAATTTATAAATTAAATTACTGCATTGGTATTATGTTTATTTAATTGTTGGTGCAAAAAATTAATAGAGTCTTAAACAGTTTTGAAGAAGTTTTCTATTTTTTATTTTTCTTTTGTGAATTTTTCAGATGATCGTTGGATGAAGGCTAAAATTCTAAAGAAGACATGGATAAAGAATGGTTAGTTTCTAATTTTAATTTAATTAGTTAATAATATGTATAATTCATACTTACCTGTTAGTCGTCGGGGAAGAAACCGTGGGGGAAGATGTCGTGGATGAGATCTGAAGTTGTTAGTAATTTAGCTAAGATGCGGATGATATTTTTAGTTTGAAGCAGTGGCCAAAGCAATTGAAGTGCTTTAATGGTGGTTAGTTCTTCAGTGCCAACTGCAAACTCATAAGGTGTGTTTTGGATTAGATTATATAATTTGTGATTGAATTTAGTGTTGTGGATGAATTCTAAAATGGGGATTTCTATAGGTTGAACAAATTCGTGTGGGATAAGGAAGGGTCGGGATTCTTCTGCGTTGAAGGTCTTGGTGATGGGACAAAAAATATACATTTGGGTTATGGGATCATAATTTCGAAGAATACCATGAAGGTTAGTATCTTTAATGCAATATGTGAAGTTAAGAAAGAATGGTGAGGTGTATTTGGAATTGATGAATTGAAAACGGTGGTGTGGTTGTCTGGAGGGAGTGTGTAGGTCGAAGTGATTTTGGATAAAACGATAATATGTATATGTGTGAGTTTGTTTAGTGCGCAACATAATATCGTGTGAGCAGTGCAAATCTCTTT